GTGGCCGTGCAGCTCTTCAAAGGGAAATTCTTCTACTGCACGGACGAGTCCAAGGAGTTCGAGAAGGACTGCAGGTAGGGCCCGGCCGGGTGGGACCCCCCGCGCCCGCCCGGCCCCGCGGGACCGTCCGGCACTGCTGCCCCCCGCCTCCCGCAGCGCTCGCCCCCCGCTTACCCGCGCTGACTTCCATGGCGGCCTCCTCCCGCAGGGGCACGGGCGGCGCCGCGCTGGGTTCCGCCGGGCCCGGCTCGGCTCCGGTCGGCGCGGCGCGGCTCCGCTCGGTCGTTGTCTTCCCGGGTCCGTGTCCCCGCCGCAGCCCTACATGCAGCCAGCGGGCGGCAGGCAGGCAAGGAGAGAGAGGGAGGGAGGCGACCGCGCTGTCTCCTGTCAGAGCGACGGGTGCGCGTCCCCGCCGCGGCGCCCTCCCCTTTACAACAAAAGCGCTCTCGGGGAGCCGCGCAGAGCGAGTGCGGCACCGCCGCCCGCCCCGCCCCGCCTCTAGCCCGCCCCTCCCCGGCGGCCGCCCCGCCCCGCCCCCGGCCGCCCCCCTCACCCAGTGACACACTTTCCGCGCCGGCGGCACCGCTCACGTGCGGCGGGAGCGTGCGGGAGAGCGGGGGCACTGCGGCGGCGGGGGCAGCGCACGGAGCGGGGGTCCCCCCGCCCTTCGCCGGGCGGTGCGGTGGGGGAGCCCCGCCGAAGTCACCGCCGCTGCCGCAACCGGCGCGGCGCTCGCCCACCGCGGCCGCGGCGCCGCGGGGCACGGTGAGGGGCGGCGGTGTGTGTCAGCTGCTCCGCCGCCGAGCACCGGCAGGAAATGCCACCGCTGTGACTGCCGCAGCTGACGAGCTCTCTCCTATCCCGACAGGAGCATCTGACAGCTCCCAGTCCCAACTGTCATCACTCCGTGCCCTCTGAGCCATGTGTTTTCTCACTGCTGGGAAAAGGGAAGATCCGGGAGAGACCCCTCTCGGCAGCGCACACACACCGCTGCGGCCATAGTCTCTCCCTCTGCAGCCATAGGGAGAGGCCATCGCACAGTTGATCCCAATCTCAGTCTCTCCTCTTTTCTGCCRGGACGTGATTTTGTCATTCCCAGAGCGATTCAGCCTCTAATACCTTCTACCATGCAATGATGTCTGTGAACACAGACGTCCCGCAACGGGGGAGGGATGCGCTCCCAGAGGATCTAAAGCAGGGGTGTCCTCGCCGGGGTCCCCATCTCCCGCTCCCAGAAGGAAACCCACGAAAAAACACACCACAACAATAAGTGGAGCGTAAACTTGGGGAAGAGTCTCCATTAAGCGAATAAAGCTCTGTCCCTCCTTGACCTCGGGAGTCAGAGGCAAATGTGTGGCTTCACAGACTATATTGACCTCCAGAGTGAGAGCGAGGCAGTGGGGTTAAATGAGGTTAACAACAGGAGGTTAAACGCAGCTAAATGTAGTTTACCACCTCCTAATTTGGGTGAGTTTCCTTTCCTCTCAAATGAGGTAAACAGGTCAGTTTGTGTGAGCTTCCTCGCTTCTCRAATAAGGTAAGAGGGTGAGTTTTCCCATTTTTTCTGTGCATGATCAGCAGTTGGGAGGCATATAGCTTTCCTCTTGGTCCACATTCAATGTCCATCACTATCTCCAGACCCTTCATCCCCCAGCCCCAATTTCCTAYGGCAAAAGCTTTTTGTATTCCCAGTTCTCCTCATACCAACTCCAAACTGTTTCCTAAGCGCTGCCATGCTGCTCTCTGGCTCTTGTAGAGTCCCTGCCTGTGCCACTGGCTGCCAGGCAGTGCTACMTGCCCTGGGCATGGTCAGGTACAGGGCACGACTGCCCACCCTCCCTTCCCGTGCTCAGGGMTCTGCCTTGCTGCTGGTCTTTGTGGACAGAGCACAAATAATGTGTATTTGATATTAGCCTGTCAGGGCATGTCAAACCTCTCAACAGATGAAACTGGCCTACACATTCAAAGGARAAGAGAGTGAATAAATCAAATGCTATTAGAAAACTAACTTGAACATCAGGAACAACAGCAGAGCAAGTCCTTTCTGTGCATTCTCTGTCTCTGGGTTTTTTAATGTTACATTTGGATTTTAGCAGAACACGAGTTTGAGTAATGTTTATAACTGGTGGATCATCAACCCCAGATGTTCATTASGTCTGTTAAAACACTCTACAGAACTCTTGCTTTTGGATAAGGCTTCAATTTGCAGGGGGTGGTGGAAGCACCCAAAGATGAATGTGGAGGCACTGGCACTCAGACCAAAGGTCCACCTGGCCTGCAGGCCATTTGTGGTGTTCAAGGGAGGCTCCAGGTTTTTCGGGTGCATGGACTCCATTCCTGAGAGTGGTCAATAAAGGGAAGGACTGCTTGTTCACTTCCTTTGTGGGCAAGGATAAATGCTGCTGCTCCTGCCTGGCGGGACAAATGGGAAAGGCAATGTACGCAGGTTTGTAGGATGCCATAGGGAGGGAGAGGCCATCACAAGATTGCTCCCAATCTCAGTCTATCCTATTTACTGCCATGACATGATTTTGTCACTCCCAGAGAGATTCCAGCCTCTAATATCTTTTACCATCTACTTTTGATCCTCTCAGGGATCATTATAGCAGTTTCAGCMTGCCCTTGCTTCTGCTGCTGCATTTGGCAGTCCTGAAGCCAATCCCCATCTATCATCAAGATGGTATTTATTTTGCTTCTCTCTCCTATCTCAGAACAACCCACCCAGACCTAGGACTGCTCTCTATGCCCCCATACTAGATCCTTTCTGGCTCCTTCCCTGAGGTGGCTCCACACACATACATGGTTTGCAAGAGCCAAGCACTTCTCTTAGGAACAGAGTATTGCAAAAAGCAAGTAATGGGCTCACCACCCAGCATTGCACAGGATCCTTGTCCACATCAGAGGAAGCCACAAGGTGTGCTTCCTGRGAAGGTCCAGCAGGTAGAGCTGGCTGTGGGTAGCCACGGGATACTGCAAACAGTGTAAGTCCTGGAGTTTCTAAAGGAGAAGGTCTCAAGAAATGGCCCTGTCCACTCCTATGCTCTAGTTCTGCCTGTTCAGCACAAAGCCATGGACTGCCACAGTGGACTGTGAGAGGCACTTCAGTGTTTGGAGAAGAAAACTGTCTTAGAAAGGTTTTTATTCTACTTGGTAACCTGGAAGAAGACTCCACTTTGCCAGTGTAATACAAGGGTTAAATTTTTCTTGGAGGAGCTTTCCACCTACCTCTTCCAARCCCACACAAGCAAACACCTGGCATAATAACTTGTGGCTCTGGGTGCTGGCCAAGTCATGGTGCCTGGGCTTCTTCTTGAGGGCCTTCTCTTTGACTCTAGCTTGGCTGCTAAAGCTCTAGTRTTACTTGCTGAGCTGCAAATAACATTCCCTTAAAGATGTGATGCTCRGTGGATATTCCCTGATCCCCACAAGGGACTGTGATTCAGCTTTCCATGAAGGGCAAAACAAAACCTAGCATTATGGAGRGGCCAGTTTACTGCTGGCATTCACAGTGGCATGGCACCTCTCCAACTTGAAGGTTGGGCAGGCACTTGAATGATCAGTGGAAGAGTGATTGGGAATTCGTGTTTTGGTCAGTCCTTAGAATCCTTCAGCCTCTGTTTACTGCTGCTGTCTGCAGAAGACTTGTGGTTCTGGGAAGAGACTGAAGTGAGGCATTGAAACATGAAGGGGCAGAAGAGGGGGAAAAGCACAGAAGGTRGGACAGAAAGCTTCTTCAAACCCCTTCCCACCCCTGGGAAGGAACACAAACATTTATCCCTCTTTCCTCCCAGCCCACACACATGGAGCAGCTCAAGCTGCATGTTTAAATTCCAGAGGTTGCAGAGTAATTCCCATCTATGCTACAGACTCCTGCCTCTGGATGGAAGATGGTACAATGATGTTGCACCAACTAAYGCTGACTTAAATGTTAAGTGCAGCTGATGGATAGTGGGACAGGATGCACTTTGGCCACCTCACCCGAGGTATGTAGAAGCCGATGACTCTTTTTCCTCAGGCCTGGATGGCTGGTGGTTCCTCAGGTTGGAACAGAATGCCTGCACCTTTCTATCCCCATGGAGAGGCCSTCCTAATCCTGATAAACATCTACACACCAACCAGGAACTCATGAGTTTCCATCAGCAGGCATTTGTGCTTTTGGATGAGCTGGATTTCTTCAGTGCCTGCACATTTACAATAATATGAGTTTGATCCCAAAACATAAACTTTGYGAAGAGAAAACATTGTTTACTTGAAGAGTGCCAAGGAGCAGCATTTTTCATGCCGCAACAGCTCCTGAAGTTTTTTATTTCTTTTTTTCCTTATTACCTCAGGAAAAAAAAAACCCTAACCTCTTATTTGTCTTTTTGACTGATGCTTGAACAGCACTGACATTTGCACAGATCTACAGTAAGTCTAAGTGCTCTTCCCTGGTCATTTACAGCATACAGTSGTTTACATATAAAAAAAGTTATTTCCCCCCACATAAAATTCTTTGTCACACTTTTTCTCTCAGGCCAGTTGGTTTGATAAGATCCTCCTGAAACCCTCGGTAATCTGTCTGTCCTGGGTAATTTGTGCTCCAAGACTGCGGATGGAACTAGTTCATTCTAGTACACTTCTCTTCAGTGAGACAACTGATATCAAGCCCATCCTTGTATTTCCAGTTTCTTTAAAGCAAAGATTCACTTGCTACCTACAGTTACTACCTTAAATACTGCCCTCTAAAAGTCTTGATAAAGATAGCTGTAACTGTGACTTCTTTCGTACATTAAATGATATAAATAGCCATAACTCATCTAACTAATCTTAGCCTCTGGAAGCCAGTGGAAATTTTTCTATCGATTAGAGTCAGCTTGGGTCAAGCCCTACACAGTGTTTTCTGACCCCTTGCCCTACTTTTTTCCATTCCTATTTAACATATACATATATCTAACTCTTTCAGTCGTTGCACTTTTTTCTCTCTGTTGAAGAGAAATCCTGATAAGGAGGTCCCAGAGGTCTTTAGCTTGTCATCACATCCCTTCATATGCTGAATGTGTGCAGAATGCTTTAGGAAGGAGCAAAAGCTAAATATAGAATAATTTAAAGCCTGCCCATTAAGGGCATGCCTTCATGACACAAATGCAACTAGCTTAGGTACTGGGAGTGGTGCAGTCACAGAGCTAAGTATAACCAAGCAGAGGATGTGGCTCACAAACCATCCCCTTGCACTCACATCCTGTCTCTCGGTATCAGAGCCTTAGAGGAAGATAYAAAAGCTCATAATAGATAGTCATATACTAACTTGCCTATAGGGTAGCTCTCTTCCTGATTAAGCTTCTCAGCAGTCAGTTTATAGCCTGAAGCACATAACCCTGCCACTTTTTTCTCTTACCTAGTGTYATTGCAAGTGTGCTTTTTCTTTACATACTTTGGTAATACAATTGGTTGCTTGGGCTGGTCAAATTAATGAGAAATAACCTCATGTAACAGTGATGTATTACAACTAGCCTGTAAATTTTAGTGGAAGGTGACAACTTAGTCTAGAAAGACAAAGCATTAATTCTACATTAATTAAGCCTATGTTATATGGCAGTAATATGACTGCCGACCTTTTCCTTTTTGTGCTATAGGTTCCTTAATCTGTCAGTATATCATCTATTTATTCAGAAATAAAATCATCAGCTAATGAGACAAAGATGAGAATTTATAGTGCTTGATTGGGCCAAATGTGATTTTTGGGAGAGAAGCAGAATGGATAGTGCAAAGGATTTTCAAGGAGCTGCCTTTTACCTTCACTGAGAAACCAAGACTCACACAACTTTGCTACAGGTGATTTCTGACACATTGTCTCAGAGAGAGGGCATCAGCACTGCTGTATTGAAGGAATAGTCAGCATATGATTGCTGCCTTATTCTGACATCTGCCAATCCCTYCTC